ATCAAAACTGTAGGAGTTTCAGTTTTGGGCGGTTTGTGGGCGTTAGAGTGGGCGTGGCAGTCTACTGAAACAAACTTGCGCTGCGTAAGAAGCTCAGGAATCTGTACGCCAAATCTCAATAGCCTAACTCTCATAGTTTCCGAGATCTCAGCGTTCATCCGGACAGACAGACGGACAGACGGACAGACGGACAGACGGTCAGACGGACAGACGGACAGACGGACAGACGGACAGACGGACAGACGGACAGACGGACATGGCTAGATCGACTCGGCTAGTGATCCTGATCAAGAATATATATACTTTATGGGGTCGGAAACGCTTCCTTCTGCCTGTTACATACTTTCCGACGAATCTAGTATACCCTTTTACTCTACGAGTAACGGGTATAAAAACCTATCAGTTTAGTCCTTAGTGTAAACTTATCAAAAATTTGTTAATTAAACTCAATTTAACTTTTCTCTTCTAACCATTCCGTTCTTAAATTGATACCAAAATGTTCTTACACGGTTTTTAAGAACGAATGTTCTCAATTCAAGAACAATGTTCTTAGATACTTCTTTCTGTGTATAGTTTAGTTTTTTAAATACTTAAAATTCATAATGGATGACTGCAACTCACTTTATAACTTAGTAATATTTTTATTTTCACTAAAAATTTAGTTTTCCTTAAATCTGATGACAAAAATTAATACTGCATCCCTGTATTTCGCATCAGCTTCCGCCAAGAGCCCCTATAAAGATGGCTAAGTACCTGTGATGGAAATTTAAAGAGAGTACGGCCCACATAAAAAACTGGTTCAGCACTTGGTCGGGTAATTAGAGCAGCAGCTCGTGTTGATTTATTAGCAGCTAATCCTGCTCTGATCGTATCACATGTATGCACATTAAATTAATAACACCTAGCCGTAGAAGGGCCCGCCGAAGAAGGGCGGTGGAGGTGGTGGTGGGAATCCTCCTCCGAAGCCCCCGTATCCACCTCTTCCGAATCCACCGGGTCTCCGGAACCCACCGCCGCCGAATCCACCGCCGCCGAATCCTCCACCTCCCCTTCGGCCGAATCCTCCGCCTCCCCTCCGGCCGAATCCACCGCCGCCTCTGCCAAATCCTCCTCGACCGCCTCCAAATTGCCTGGCCAGGCGAACTGCCGGCATCTCCTGCTGCTCCTCGGCCCGATTTACATCCGCCAGAGTCAGTTGCTGTACATCCACATCCGCCTGGGGGGCCGTGGTTCCCGATTTCGCCATCAGGACCAAAAGGCCCGCACTTAGCACTAATAGATTCAAGTGGTAAACTCGCATCGCTCCGTTTGTCTCGTTCACCCAAAAGTTCACTATGGTCGAGCCGATCCCCCGCCAGGTCGCTTTATATACCCTTTCGAGCTGACTTGATGACTGTTGGGTTCTAAACGAGTTCTGCCTGCGCCGACGACCTTAAACAATTAAATTTCCTGAGCATAATCAAATGGCGAAGAAAACCCCCGACTCTCAAGAGCCTCGAGCTGAAATTGTAAACAACTAACTGGGGTGGGGAGAAAAAAGAAAATAACAACATCATTTCTGCGCAGCGAAAAGCAACCTGTTCTCGGTTTTACCCACTCCATAGCCCACCTCATTCGCTTCTAATTATGTTCTACAAGAGGGAATAATATACTTAACATATTAATCTACAAGTTATGCAAGCCGACTGTGGCATGTCATAGGTTAACTAATAAACAAAAACACCCATTCAATAATTATTCATGTTTACCTATATGGCTGTGGCGGATCCAGAATTTGTTTGTGTGGGATATAAAAAAATGTGGTTGAGAAGATATCAAAAATTTGGAAACCGAGTGGGGTATCTATCCCCTACATCCCCCCGTTGATCCGCACATGCTATTGGGATTAAAATAGATGATAGCAATACCATTTTAACTAAGTACATTTTCAAACATTTTATAATATACTGTAATGCTATTAAAAAATTTAACTTATTAAGGCCTGAATTCAGCAAAATATCTTATATTTGCTGTTATTATGGATCTTTATAATCAGAAGCATTTACTGAACTATAAATTTTCAATTTGTATTTGGGTTATTTTAATATTTTAATTGGCAATTCAAAAATGATTAAAATGTCTAAAACTTTTATTCGAAACCCCCTTTAAATTATTAAAATGTTTTTGAACCCTTGACAGATTTCATCCAATTTTGTATGTAACTTGTTAAAAAGTAGTTTGTAGCAGAACTTTTCAACTGTTACTGTTTGTTGGCGCGGACAATCCAATTTGAATAAATCTTTAATTTGTCATTGGTTATTCACAATTAATGGTTTTTATACCATCGCTATCACGCTTTTAGATGAGGGAAGTTCACGATTTATTTACAAAGTAAATTGAAATAAAGAAACAAGATTGTATTTATGAAGTTACTAACAAAACTAAATTTATTCCCTTAAAAAACAATTCAGAAAGAATCGAACTGTCATGCTATGACGTCAATGGTCTGTATTCTACCGAAGTCGTTATAAGATAATTATCTTTTTGGATTAAAAAGCATAAAAACTGTCAATATCTATATCTTGGAATTTCTTCTTTGGTACTTTATTATTATTTGAAGTGGGTAGAAAATCCCAGCTGTGAATTAAATTAGAACTAATCACATATGTACGTTTGGGATTGCAAAATGTGCCGTCATTTGAATGACGGGACTAGAAAAGGTAAGGCATCTCAAATCCAATTACAAACACAAAGGCAAGCCTGTATGTATGCGTAATTTAATTTGCCGACATCTAATGCTCATTAAGAGATTTCTTAAGTACGGGCCACATGTGAGTTGTTCGCATCTCAGAAAAGCCGCCCAAGGCGTCTTCCCCCAAAAAAGCGATACGTATTTATAAGCCATAAATAACGTGTAAACAAAAAGCCGCCACAAACAACAAGTATACGCCCGATGGGCCAACAAACCGGGCTCAGAATCTCTCTTGTGGCGACACCAGCAAGAACAACAACAACTTTAACAACAATGGTAACAGCATCGCGGCCAAATTATAAGGCTATAAAAGGCAATAAAAAAAACTTTGCGATATCAAATTACAACGCCCTCATAAAGTTATAAAAGTTTCAAGCGTATCCAAACGCACAGCACGTTCCACGTCACTCCCCTACTCACATTACCCACAGATCCCCATCTTTCGGGATCCCCAGTTTCCCCCCTGGGCCAGGCCTAATATTTTCAATAACAAATCAATCAGCTGCGGCTGCTGCCGCGACGGTCAACATGGATAATCAGTTCGAACGGCTTTTCTCAGCCTCGAATTTTCCCCGGTTTTCCCCAACAGCTGCTGGGGCGGTGCCCTTTTGGGGGCGGTTATCGAAAAGTGGGCGGGTGGGTATTCGAAGGTGCCGTAGATTTATTGAGACACGATTTCGATAAGAACTGCTCCGCCAAAATGGCCAAAAAGCAGAAAGAGCAGGATAAACCAAAAGGTCATCGAACCGGTAATACTCTAAGTGGGAATCTTATCTTAACTAAAAAAATATTGATTAAATAAATATTATCTTTATAAATAATTATACAAAATAGGGAACTATATTAATGTATTTTTAAGACATGAACTGTAAAATAAATTTAATAATGATATTTAAGATTTTGATCTATAAAGATGTAAGAGGTTCTGATAAGATTTGAGAAAATTCATTGGAAATTATAATAATAAATTAACATTTTCCACGGCAATTTTACGACTTCCTAATTACCATTAAATTTGTTTAATTTAATACCAATTAACTGTTTAACTAATGAGTTATCCAAATACATTGCCAACTTTAGCAGGGATTATTTTTAACTTTTTTACTACAGACCTTAATCTAAAACTGTTAAATTCTTTAAACCCCAACTATGCAAAGTCATTAAAGCGCGCGAAAAAAGAATGAAAAGTCCTCTTTTAACAAAGTTCCCAAAGTATACCGTGAAAGTGTAGACTAACAAAGCCTTTTACAAGACTGCGTTCTAGTAACAAGAAATTTTTCACGAGCCGGAAAAAATGAAAAGGGGCGATGGGGCAACGAGAAAAAAGCGAAAACTTTTATCAATGTTGGCGTATGACCCTTGTATGAGTGGGTGGGTGGCTGGTTGACTGGGTGGGGTTGTCCTCTGCGCTAAGGTCAAGGGATAACAAAAGGCGTAAATTTAAAGCCAAGTTAATTTTTTAACAATAAAAGGGCGCTTGTCAAAAGAGAAATTTTACAGCAAACGTTTAATCTTAAACGACTTTTGCGAGCCAGCGCGATTGGCAAGTTAGATAGCAGACGCCAGTGGCAGCAGCCGAGGCGAAGTTTCAATGGATTGCTTTGTTATAAATTGGAAAACGCAAACAAACGGCGATAGAAAGAATTAAAGGCTGATTTACAGGGGAAAAAAGCGGTAGAATTTATCTTCTCTCTTTGGCACTCATAGAGTTCTCATGGTAAACTAGATACAAATCTAGAGGTTCGATTTCACTTTAAAATTGTGCCTAAAAGTAGGCTGTGAAAAAGATTACATCATTTTTGACTTCGTAATATTTCGATGCATACTCTAAAGCACCTTTTTAAATTATTTTGAATCTGTTGAAATGGCTGCTAATTTTTTTATACTTTGTCAAGAGTTTTCCTATATTACAATAGTATTTTTAAACTCTGTTACAAGATTTTATAAATCTTCTAAAAAAGATTACAACGATTTTGACTTAAAAAATTTCGTAGTATACTCTGGCCCCTTTTTAAATTATTTTAAGTCTGTAGAGATTGCTTCTGTTAATTTTCAATACTTTCTCTAACAGTTTACCAACATTATTATAGTGTTTTTTGACTCTTTTACATGATCTTATAAATCTCACTTAAATTTTGTTTGTATTCAAACCAAGTCAGATTATTTTAAGTACCTTTGCAAACAACATTTAACTCTGAATAGTTGTGCCAATCACTGTGGGCCATGCAAATGACAAGGAAATTAAGTGAATCAAGGAAAAGGGGTTAATTTATTTCGAACTTAATTAGAACGTGCTTGAATGCACTTAATTACACATTCTTTTTCTAGTGTTTTAAGCTTAGTCAGTCACAGATGATTGCTGGTTGGACCTTAGCGTCCAAAGCCTCCGAAGCCTCCTGGACCTCCTCCGAAGCCACCGCCGCCTCCTGGTCCTCCGAAGCCACCGCCGCCTCCAGGTCCTCCAAAGCCACCGCCTCCGAAGCCACCGCCTCCTGGACCTCCGAAACCACCTCCTTGACCTCCAAATCCTCCTGGACCTCCAAAGCCACCGCCGCCTCCTGGACCTCCAAAGCCACCGCCGCCTCCAGGTCCTCCTCCAAAGCCACCTCCTGGTCGTCCTCCAAAGCCGCCTCCTCCAAAACCGCCTCCAAACTGACGAACTTGCCGAGCGGCCGATGGAGCCTGAACACCTGCATCCACGGCCAGGAGCTGGGCCGCAGGATCATATGTGGCTGCTGAGGAGCCGGCGACCAAAAGGATGGCCGCCAGGGCGAGGCAAACAAATGTGCGCATTTCGAGTAAAACTTCTGCCACTAATCACCGACAAAGTTTCGATGGATTCTATGAAGCCTCTGCTCTGCGGCCTGGCAATTTATATGATTTGGAATTTATCGACTCGAGGCAGAGGAAGCGAATAAAAGTAGTAGGAGTGGTTCGACGGGGCGGAACATCAAAGTTGCGAATGTTACGTCAAAAACCGAATACTGAAATGAATACTCCGGGCAGAGCGATTCGTATTAACCGTCTGGCTAAACAACAACCATAATGCTCCCCAATAATAATAACCAAAACCTATTAGGCAACAAAAACGGAGCACAGGCAGAAGAGCCAAAAGTTTTTGGCAAACACCCCAGAAAATGGGTGGGGGGGGTTACTGAAGTGGCCAGCCGGTTGATGATGGGCTTTCTCCAGAGTCTCAGAGTCTCGACTCAAGTTGAGACTACTATTCAAATGCGCAAAACATTCAAGTTTCTTGGCCTGGCCAGCACAACACAACAGATCGATAGACAAGTGGCCAAGTATTCATGGGGAGCACCATCTCAAGTGGGCCTCTGCCACTCCATTCATCTTTCAGATTTCGTAAGGCTCTCCAGCGGGGATTGGGTATTTTGTTTTGTTTGTTTGACTTAATTAAAATCTAAGGGTAAACAGTCGACGCAACTGGTTGTTATTTAAATGTCATCAATGTGGTCGTTTTCATTTTGAGTGACGCACTGACTCCTCTCGGCTATTAGCTTGCTCAGTGGTTAGCACATTTTCAGATAATTTCTGGGTTTTGATTACGGTTACACTGGTTCTAAATCTTGGGAAATAGATATGAGTCATATTATCGCGATAAACTGATAAATTTGCTGAGACTACTTCGATTTTAGGTATGGTTATTGTTATTTAGGAATTTAATTTTCTTTTCTAATATTAAAAATCTTTTACGGAGGGGTTAGTGTCTATCAATTAGTGTCTAATCAATAGACAGGTACATACTTTAATTTATTTCCTTATTTATTATATTAATGCTATAATTAGCCATTTGGATTTAATTATTTTCTGGGTAGGAGAAACTAGATCGTTGATCCATTTTATTTTTGGCATTATAATTAAGTTGAAGTTTAAAGAAATTTAAAAATACTCTGTCTTTGCTAAATAAGCAGATGTTTATATCATATTAAAAAACAAGTTTTCTGCTGATCTCCAAATTATTATTCATCTTATATAACCTGGGAAAAGTAAAAAATTATATGAATGAAGTTATCTTTTCAAAGATCCCATATTTTGTTAAGTATACATAACCGGTGATAATACCTTTTAAAGGTGTCACCCAAAACAAAAGGTTTATATATAAGTTGATAATTTCAGGTAATTGTAAACAATTATACAATAAATGTAATCAAGGTTAATCCATTAGATCGTCACATTTTCCCACGAATACAAAACAGAGATACAAGCGAGGACAACACAACTTTTAATTCAATTATGCACTCAAAGTGGCCGTTAAAATAAATCTGCTACGGCTCAAACTTGTATATTAAACTGATTTGCCGTCTGACCTGTCATCCGTCAATTGCCGACCATCTTCACCGGCAGCTAAGTTCAACAGGGGTAAAGAAAATGACACGACAGCCTACGTTTCTCACAACATTATAGTCATCTTTTCTGAGAAGAAGCGAAACTTTGTGTTGAACTTTTAAAGAAGTAACAAACAAAATGCAAGCAAGAAAATATTAAAACTTTTTAAGGGGGACTAGCATTAAAAAAGAGAAAAGATTTTCCAGGCTTAAACAGGTAAAAACGTTCTATCACTGCACGTGATTTCATTTTTATTAAGACTTTTCAGTAGTCGCAAAAGTGCAATGTAAACTAGTTATAATGTCTTATTTCAACATATTAAAAATAACTTCACGTAAATTAGTTAATTAATTTACCACTACGAGTTTTTAAGATTTATTCAAGGTCATTTTGTTCTAGAAGAACCTGTAGGAATTTGCTTATGTAAGGAATAAAATTATAATTCCAGTTTAAAAGGTGGTGGAGTCAAATTAAATATGAATTTCCATTTCCAACAAAATATGCTGGAACATAAATAACCATGAACCTGGTCAAAACAACGCTACCCAAAAAGCACGAACACCTGGCCAATGTAAATTAGTAATTTTACTAATCGCCATTCGGTTCTTTGGGGCGGTTAAATACTGTAGGGTAAATGTTTGCGTGGCCTTTTTAAGGTTTCCGGTTCATTTTTTCCCCGGTTTTTCCACTGATTATGACAATCATAGTCAAAATACTTTTTGGCCAGGTCGACGGTGGTCGAGTAAAAAGTGTATTTTTAATTTATGCCGTGTCTGAGATTCTTTTTCTCTCATTGAGTTTCCCCCGGTGCAGTCTCTTGGTGGGAAATTTATGCGGAAGTTTATGCCATCCAGTGGATTTCGGGGCGAAAGGCGGGGGCTTTTTGGGTATCTGTAAGAGGGAGTGGGTCGCAAAATGTGCATCATTTTGACGTTGACATCGTTAATTGACCCAGTTTTCTGGACTGGCTAAAAGCGTTTAAATTTGAATAAGCAAATTTGGGCAGCGAAATGGAGATGGGTAGAGAGATTTCGCGTTTTGCATAAATGAATTAAAATGCCGCAGCTTTGCCTTTGGATTAGACTGCGGATTTTAGCCGACATAAACACATGCGCCAAAACCGCAATAAACCAATTGAGAGCTATTCAAGCCGTCTATAGAGCCATCGAGCATTGTTAATGGCCCGGACCGCGTTCATAAAACAAACAGCGAAGCCAAACAGCAGCAAACAGGCAAACAAGCTGGCCGGCAAACTGGCAAACTCGCAAACTGGCAAACTGGCCGAACTCGGCAAACAACAAGAGCAACAGCTAACAGCAATTCACACTTACGCACCCCGAAGTTGGAGGCGTCTGCCAAAAGTCTGGGAACGGGAATGGTATGATATGGCATGGTATGGGGTATGGGAATGGGTCTGAGCCTGGTCAATAGCATAACTAACCTTCAAATAAAATTAGCACATTTACACAGCTTACCTGACCGCAGGAGCAGTGTGGCCAACTTGGCGATTTCATAGCCAGCGTTTGACTTTTTCAAAAACAAAATATTTGCGGAAGTTACAGAAACTCTAAGAGGCTCGGAACCCACTTATGAAGGTGTCTAAAAGTATGCCACAAAACATTTGGTAACTAGAAATTTTATGTAAAAATGCACAACATACTTTTAGGAACCTTAATAAAAGATTTCGAACCTATTTCGAAATATGTAAATTTTATAATTTCTTTGAACCAAGTTTTTTGGGTTAGAATGCTATTGTCGGAACACTGGAATATATATTATAACTTTAGTTACTAAACTTTATGCAGAAATCTTCAAAGGTTTTAGGGACGGGTAGTTTAAAAACCAACCAAAACACACGTCGATCCCACAAAGTTCTTAAAGGTTTGTTTGTGTATCAGAGTAAACTTTTAGTGTATTCTATTTGGTGGGTTTTAAATCGCCTACTTGATTTTGCAACAGTTTTCTGGAATGTAGAGACAAATTTGCTTGCAAGAGATTTCTGTGACACCCCTGACTATACTCATTTTCCTTAACTCAAGATATCTTCTTGAGTATATAATGACATTTAAATAACCAATCCTTGTTTATATCAAAGCATAATTTTCTTGACTTAAAATCACATATTAATCTGGCTACTTGCTGTAATCTGAAATGGCCAACACTGCTCAGAAGTTGGTTCCGCCGCAAAGTGAAATGTTTTGCTCTTTAAACTGCCACTGGCTGCCATTCGATTTCATGAGCGCCACTTAGCGTGCCACCAAAAGTACCCGCGCAAACCATATGAATTGGCTTTTTGTTCCATTTTAGGGGGACTGGCATTTTTGCAGGGGCAGCGGGCAATGTTCCAGCATATTTTAATAGTTTGTTTTATGGCATTTACATTAGCATCTAATATTTGGCTAACAAGCGGCGGACGCAAAACAAACAGATGAAGTGCGAGGGAAATCGCAAAACAAAAGTTTCCATTTTATGCCCAAAGTTCTAAGCTATAAAGACACCGGTCGCGAGTTGGCCAGGTCACAGTTAGCCAAAAGCGGAGCAACCATAAAGCCATAGATAAAGTCAAGCGCCGAAACAGTTCAAGGAGCCATAAGGATAATGCGTAGCTGGTTTTTATTTGGATTATATGCGCTGCTAATCGCCGCAACAGTTGGCCAACCGCTGCAGCAAAATGAGTCTGGAAAAAACGAGGATGCCGAAAGGGGCGAGCGAGTGAGTCGCCAAATTCCCTATCCCTATTTGGGCGGTGGATATGGAGGTGGAATCTACGGAGGAGGCTACGGAGGATATGGGGGCTACGGTGGCTATGGAAGCTACGCCGGCATACGCTCCTCAGTTTATCCTTACGGCAATCTGTATGGTTCCAGCGGCTTGGGACTGGCGGGCGGATATTATGGTCGTCCTTATGGTTATGGCGTTGGCTATAATATTGGATATCCGGCCATTGGCGGCTTTGGTGCCACCGCCGGCGGCATCTATGGCGCTAGTCCATTTTCCCCATTCGCTTAAGTGGCTATACGAAATAAAAAACCAATACGAAAATCGAAAACCCTTGGACAAAAATGCTTGACTTGAAAAATTTATTCAAATTTGTGGGGAGGTTTTGGCTGCGGTTTAGTAAGCTGGGATTACCTAATGATCCCTCAGCTGGCTATTTGACATAGTAATGTGATTGTGGTCAAATGGGCAGAAAAGTGTAAAAAATAAATGTGTATAAAAAAATACAAGTTTCAAGCGCCAAAATTTGCTTTACAGGTTGGCATATATAATATTTCGGTTCTGAGCAAGTTTGATAATATTTTTAAAGTTTATGTGTATTGTTACAAATTTTTAAAAGTATATTTTTATTGCGGATTTTTTAAAGTCATGTTGAATATTTCAATATGTTATCTTTTTAAAAACATGAAGTTTATTTATTCGGAAAAACAAGTTAGTTTTCTCATAGTGATATTAATTTTACGAACGAACAATTCTAACAGATTCG